GCAGGTGGATCTCTGTGAGTTCAAGACAAGCCTGGTCTAAAAGAGCTAGTTGCAGGACAGACTCCAAAACCACCGAGAAACCCTGTCTCAAAAAAACAAACAAGCAAAAAAAGAAAAAAAAAGTATGGTCTTTTTGGAGTAGGGGTGGCCTTACTGGTAGAAGTGTATCACTGGGGATGGGTTTTGAGTCTTCAAAGTCCAAGCCAGGCAGGGCCAGTGGCTCTCTTTGCAGCTGCCTGTGGGGATCTGGATGTAGAACTCTCAGCTACCTTTCCAGCACCATGTCTGCCTGCACGCTGTCGTGCTTCCCGCTATCATGATAATGGACTAAAACTCTGGAACTGTCAGCCAGCCCCAATCACATGTTTTCATTTTCTCTCCTTTTTCCTTGAACTCACAGAGATCCACCTGCCTCTGCTTCCCGAGTGCTGGGATCAAAGGTGTGTGCCACCACCGCCCGGCTCACATGTTTTCATTTTAAGAGTTGCTATGATCAAAAAAAAGTTGCTATGACCATGGTGTCTTTTCCTAGCAATAGAAACCTTAGCTATGGATACTCCTTGGAGCTACCTTGGAACTTGCCATGTAGACTAAGCTAATCTCAAACTCCTGGCTCTGAGATTAAAGATATGTACCACTATATATGGCCAATGAATGTAAGTTAAAAAAATTTTTGAAAACGAGACAGGGTCTTACTGTGTAGCCAAGGCTAGCCTTGAACTTAGAATAGTGGCTGCTTTAGCCTCTCAAGATGGCTCAACAGTTAAAGACTTGCCCCCAAGCCAGAGAACTTGAGTTCGTTCCCTGAAAGTTACATCATGGAAGGAGAAAGCCAATTCCTACAAGATGTTCTCTAACTTCTACACATGCACTGTGGCTTGCATGAGTACACACAATATATGTAATTAAGAAAACGTAAAAACACAGCCAGCCATTGGTGGCACAGGCCTTTGATCCCAGCACTAGCAAGAGGCAGAGGCAGGTGGATCTTTGTGAGTTTGAAGCCAGCCTGATCTACAGAGCAAGTTCCAGGACAGGCTCTGAAAGCAATACAGAGAAATCCTGTCTGGAAAAAGAAAGAAAGGAAGGAAGAAAGAGAGAGAGGAAAGAAGGGAGGGAAGGAGGAAGGGAGAGAGAGAGAAAGAGGGAGGGAGGGAGAGAGAGGGGGGAAGATAATAGGAGACCTGGGGAACAATGAAATAGCTTCCTTTGCTCCAACGGCAGCCAGTAGATATGGCTTTGTCCTTCATTAGTTCCTTGACCCTCACCCATTGCCTCTTACCCAGAATCCAGTATCGGTGCTAAATCTGTGCCCACAGCTCATACCCAGAGGTCCAGTGTGAGCTAGAATGGATCAGCTTCTTCCTTAGGGTCTGCAGCTGAGAACCCCAAAGAAAACGTCTGTCAGCTGACTGTGAATTCCAGCACATAGGCTTTCTTCACTGACGCTACATCCAGACACTTAGAGGACGGACACATGCCAGCTTCTCACATTTGTTGTTTTTTGTTTTCTTTTTGAACAGCTATTGCCTTGATAACTTTATAGCCACAGAAGCTGACATTGGTGTAATCAACTTCTTTCCATAACAATTTTAATGTGCAAGCCAGGCCCAAGTCACCAGCCAACCCCAGGGCAGGGAAAGGCCAGTCCCACCCAAACTCCTCCTAGCCTGAGAAAGAGGGTACCCGAAAGGAAATGTAGTTACTGCTACCAGAAATGGAAAGGATCCTGGGGGTAGTCAGTCCCTACTCCATACCACCACAACAGCCTCAATATCCCGCAGGACTTTGTGTTTTGGCCTCAACTTGCTCGGTTTGCGCTCCATCTGTCTCACCCAACCCATGATGTACTTTCTGGGCACCCTGCCTGTGACAGGCTCCTTTACCTCTAGTTTCCAGCAGCACTACCTAGGAAGTTGGCTGTAGCCCAAGGAGGGGCCACCTGTTCCAGCCTGCTTCCCCGCTGTGCTGATCGGTAGCCTTGTGAGCAGGGACCTGGAAAGCTGTAACAAGGAAATCTTGTGTAGAGGTGTGAACGTAGCTCCCAATAGGGCCCAAGCTCCCACTATTCTTGCAGGGTCCAACGGCACGGTTTTGGCTACGGTGCTTCAACAGAGCTAAGCCCCAAGATTGTGCTGCCACCGGAGCAGGGAATATCCTACTTCAGCTGGGGGCAAGCTGCAGAAACAGGAGAGGGTCAGCATGGGATGGGGTGGTGCAGGGCTCCTTGTGGTATCTAGGGACGACATGGCTCTCCTTTCCTTGCTCTGTTGGCTTAGAGAATTTGGATGAGAAGTAGGGCCCCCTGTTGCCAGCTTTCTCTGATGCTGCGGTGGCTTGGCAGACCTTGTGTAGGAATTACCTTTCCCCTGCCTTTGTCCTCTCTTTGTTCCTAGCTGGAAAGACACCATGGATAGACTTATCCAGGCAGGGTATATCAAAATCCTCATCTCCATGGCCAGCCCCAGAAGAGAGAGAGAGAGTGCATCTGGGAATCCGATCAAGTGCTGCCCTGACCAGGAAAGGCCCTCACCCTAGGACAAGCTTGAGGCCTGTAGGAAGTTAAATTTAGGCCAGAGCTCTGGGTATTACATTTTTTCACATCAGCTGACTGTGTAACAAGGTGGACAGCTTGTCTTGGTCAGTGTTGTATTGCTGTGAAGAGACACCACGACCAGGGTAGCTCTTATAAAAGAAGGCATTTAATGGGGGCTTGCTTACAGGTTCAGAGGTTTAGTCCATTAATCAGTTTGGTGGGTGTGCCTCATGGTAGCAAGCCAGTAGACGTGGTGCTGGAGATGTAGCAGAGAGTTCTACGTGAGGGTCCATAGGCAGCAGGGAGAGGACACTCAAAACCTACCCCCAGCATACACTTCCTCCAACAAGGCCACACCTCCTAATAGTGCTATTCCCTGCTGACCAAGCATTCAAATCTATGAGCCTATAGGCCGAGTGCCTTCCTATTCAAGCCACCGCACAGCTCCTCCTGTATCCACCTGACTCTAATTCCTGGTGTGGTCTGAAATTGAGCATCCAGCTGTCTTCGGTGCAAAGATTCCACATTGCATTGCCCCGCCCGCCCATTTTCTGTACCCTACACCAAGGCAAAGAGAAACTCTAGTGTCTATATTTCCAGCAGATACCTACGAGCCAACTGAGTGAAGGCTCTGGGTAGTCCTGGACATGGCATGCAGCAGGTCCCTGAGGTAACCATTATTTTTTAATTCCTTGAGAAATTCCTGGGCACTCCTACAGTGGTGAGGCAGGAAGTCTGTGGTTTGCCCAGCCTAAGGGGAAGGTAGAAATGGGTGTCCCTCACTGGGAGCAGAGATCTCAGCAGACCCTGTCAAGGTTCCTGGAAATTGTAGAGGTCCTCAGAGTTAGAGGCGGCATGCACTGGCTGGGTAGGAGGCTTCTGATAATGACCTCAGGCTCTGTTCCTCTAAGACTGGGGCTGCTCCTGTTTTTCAGGGTGACTAGGACAGAGGCTGGGAAAGGGCTCTGTGTGTGTGGCAAAGGTCGGATCCAGTGAACACTGAAGTCCTCCTAGGACCTTTTCCTTTTCCAGCTAAGGTCACCTGGGAGGTGTCATAAGGGGGTCAGAATCCAAAGGACATTTGCCTGCGACCCTCCTCACCGTCCTGTCCTTAACAGCAGAGTTTTCAGCACTAGGGGGCTTCACCCCTAGTTAGGGCAGCCGGGTGTTCTGGGGCCCTGAAAGCTGTATGTGTTGGGTGACCTGTGTAAGAGTATGACCCTGGAGTGCGGCCTTTCTTCCCTTCCCTCTATGGAACAGCATAGACATTGCACAAACTCGGTTGTTTCTGTTTGGTTGTTCTGTTTTTGAGACTGGTCTGAAGTTTGCAAAGTAGTCAAGAATGGCCTTGACCTCCTGATCCGTTCTCCCAAGAACTGGGATTACAGGTTTGTGCCACTGTAACCTCTCTGGTGTGCTTGTTTTACTTTTTATCTTGTTTTCATTTTGACGATCTCACTAAATTATCCAGGTTGGCCTTGAATTTGTTTGGTAGCCCAGGTAGCCCTTTCTTATGTTTTTGGTTGTGAGCCTAGCCTTTAATGGCTGAGCCATCTCTCCAGGCCCAGGTAGCCCTTTCTGTGTGTGTGTGCCCGTCTGTCTGTCTCTCTGTCTCCGACTCTCTCTCTCTCGCTCTCTGGTTTTTCAAGACAGGGTTTCTTTGTGTAGCTTTGGAGCCTGTCCTGGAACTTGCTCTGTAGACCAGGCTGGCCTCAAACTCACAGAGATCAACCTGTGTCAGCCTCCCGAGTGCTGGGATTGGTAGGCTCTCTCCTAAACAGCTCGGATTTCTATAGACCTGCACCACCTGATTCAGGGTGGACTTTTTATGGACATTTCCTTCCTTCCTTCCTTCCTTCCTTCCTTCCTTCCTTCCTTCCTTTCTTCCTTTCTTCCTGTCTTTGTTTTGTTTTTCGAGACAGAGTTTCTCTGTGTAGCTTTGGAGCCTATCCTGGCACTCACTCTGTAGACCAGGCGGGACTCGAACTCACAGAGATCCGCCTGCCTCTGTGATTAAAGGCTTGTGCCACCAATGCCCGGCTGGGCATTTCTTTTTCCAGTCCTGACCCTCTTCACGAGCCAAAGAAGGTAAGGAAAACTGAAAGAGAGGGCCGGTCCGACCTGCACCTTCTCTTTATGTGTGCAGTTAATCAATTTTTACCAATACTTCCCTCCCTAGTAATGCCAACATTTCAGTCATTTTGCTTATCCCCTTGGTCAGAGCGTGCGGGGGACTCTCTTGCCGGTCACGAGGAGCCAGCATCGGGTAGAGGGACCGTCCATCAGGGGTCCTTATCAACTGTGGCAGGGGCTTGTCCTAGGGTCACTGCGCACCACCTGTCCACAGTAGGCATACTCTTGCGCCGTGGGATGCGGCCCACAGAGGGTTAAGGAGGCGGGACGTGGGACAGCCCCGCCTCTGCCGCTGGGTCCGAGCGCGCACTGGGCGTGGGTGTGGGGCGGGTGAGGGCCCTGCGTGGGGCGGGTTGGAGCAAGTGGCGGATGAGGGTCCTGCGCGGGGCCAGCGCGGCAGCGGCTGGGGCGGCGTGGCCCGCGTGACCCTCCCCGCGCCCGGTGCGCTAGCGAGCCCGCGCCCCGTTGCGCCGGCCCCGCCGCAGGATGCGCGCTCCGCCGCTGCTGCTGCTGCTGGCCGCCTGCGCCCCGTCCTCAGGCGCAGATGTGACCCCGACGCCGCCGGGCTGGGAGCCGGCCTCCGACGCGCCCTGGTGCCCCTACAAGGTGCTGTCCGAGGGCCCCGAGGCGGGCGGTGGGCGCCTATGCTTTCGCAGCCCGGTTCGCGGCTTCCGCTGCCAGGAGCCCGGCTGCGTGACGCTAGTCTCGGCGGGTGGTTCGCTGCGCGCCCACGTCCTGCGCAACCGCAGCGTGCTGCTGCAGTGGCGCCTGGCTCCGGCCGAGGCGCGCCGCGTGCGAGTCTTCGCGCTGAACTGCTCGTGGCGTGGCACCTACACGCGCTTCCCGTGCGATCGGGTGCTGTTGGGCGCCTCCTGCCGCGACTACCTGCTGCCCGATGTGCACGACAGCGTGCGCTACCGCTTGTGCCTGCAGCCGCTGCCGCTGCGCGCCGAGCTCGCCACCGCCCAGCCAGAGCTCGCAGAGTGCGTGGAGTTCACCGCCGAACCGGCAGCTATGCAGGAGATCGTGGTGGCCATGACGGCGGTGGGCGGCTCCATCTGTGTCATGTTGGTGGTCATCTGCCTGCTGGTGGCCTACATCACCGAGAACCTCATGCACCCGACCTTCAGGCGACCCAGTCATCGCAGGCAGTCGTGAAGCGCAAGGCGACCCGCCCACCTGGGTTCCACCTGCCCAAATGTGCTAAGACCCTAGGCCCTTTCTCCTGCTTACCTCTCATTCCCTCTCCCTCTTTGCGATGCCCATGGAGGGCCTAATGGAGACTAGCCCGTGCAGGGACCTTGTCATCATTTCATGACCTTGCTGGGTCTGCCTTCCAGACTCAGTTCTCAGACTGGCCATGGGCCCCAGGCTAGAGTGTCAGGCGCATCCAGGGGTCTTCCCTGTCTCTAGAGGCCTTGTAGAGCCGGCCAGAATTTACAGTCCCTCTGTCAAGAGCCACTGGCTCCCAGGACCATCAACCTGAACTTTCGTCTTGTGCTATGTTGTCAGAGCTTGGGGCGTGACCGTTGCTTGGTCACTTTGGGCTTTGCAGATGGGGAGGAGTAACCTCTGGATCCTGTACCCATCCCACCTTACCCAGTGGGCTTAGGTTAGCTTTGTGCCTTAGTTTCTCTGGCCCACTGCAGGAGCCACCCATCCCTCAGCAGCTGTCCGTGGGCATCTGTGGCCCTGTGATTGGCTGGCTTATGCATGCTTCTGTCCAGAGTCCCACTGAGGACACAACCATCCTCGAGATTTTCAGGAGCCTGGGGCAGGGGTTCACAGGCCCTGTTTTGTCTTCCTATGTGGGTGTCCAAGAAGCCAAGAGCCATGATGTAGCTCAGCAGGCTGGACCCAACGTCCAGCTGCTGCATCCAGGGGTGAGTGCCCTCCACCTTAGGGGGCTGGGGATTCACCCTCCCCTTTCCCTTGTACTGCCTTGATTAGGACTTTCCCGGTGTGTGTGTGTGTGTGTGTGTGTGTGTGTGTGTGTGTGTGTGTATGTGGTGGTGGTGGTTGGGAGGTCAGCTGAAGGGATCATGGGGACCGAAGGAAAGCTGCCAACCTCGTCCTCCAGCCAGACCCTTAACTGTGGTCTGGATCCCAAGCCTCAACAAACTCGAGACCTCAGTGGCCATAGTGGCACTTCACTACCCCCTGTCCTTACACTAAAGGGTAGAGAGCCTGAGGTCTGGCTTCAGTGATGTGGGCCCTCCATCTGCACGGGCAGAGTTTGGCCTTGTCTACCTCCTGGCAGACAGAGCCACCTGGCTGAGGTCACCCGGCCATCTGGTGATATTGGGCACTGGGAAAGAGTAAGGCATTTCTCCTGTCTTTGAGCCTGGGCTCTGACCACTGAACTTGACCCTGGGTATTTCCCATCCCACTCTCTCTCCAGCGACCTGAGCCCTGGCTGGTAGTAATATTTGTGCCCTACCTCTCTGTCTTTGTTCTGCCCACTCCCTGTGAGGCACTGGACAGTTGCCAGTATCTAAATGTCCATCACTCTCAGACCAAAAACACTGTCTTGTGTGTTTATTTGGGATGTTGGAGGGAAGGTTATGGGTGAGGGAAGGTTATGGGTGTGGATTCAGTTCCTCCAAGGACTGAATTTTTTTTTTTTTTTTTTTTTTTTTTTTGTTTCTCTTGACAGGGTTTCTCTGTATTGCTTTGGAGTCTGGTCTGGAACTCATTTTGTAGACCAGGCAGGCTTCAGACTCACAGATATCTGCCTGCTTTTGCCTCCCAAGTGCTGGGATTAAAGGCATGTGCCACCAACACCTGGCTGGGCCTCAAGCATTAGTCCAGTGGCTGGCCTTGAACCATTTCCTAGTGGGCATGGGATGGTGATCAGCTCAAGGCAGTGTTCACTGGGATGCTGACTTTACATTCTGTCAGAAGGACAGACAGGGTGTCCATAGTTTACTTGTCCACCCTCAGACCTTGGGAAAGCGTCTTTTCCTAGGCCGGCCGTGTTGTATGGGTGGGGGTGGAGAGTGGCACTGTCGGTGGTTAGAAATAGCCCCAGCATACAATGATGACAGGCGACAGTTAGGCAGCTCTAGGAGAGGGTTCCCGTGGTGGGGCTTCCTTCTGCAGTGTTAGAATTGGGAATAGGATTTGTAACCTGGGACTACTGTATGAACCACTCTCTCTCTCCCCACCTAGAATGTCCTTGGGACTCTCGTGCTCCTGTGACCCTGAAGAAGCCAAAAGCACAAGACAGAGATGAGCCAGCTCTGATGAGTGACTCATCTAGAGGGCGGGAGAAAGGTTGGGGGTGTAGTGGCATGCCTAGACTCATCTGAGGGGTGGAGGACATAGCAGGCTGTCTAGACAGCCAGGGCAGAAATAGGAGGGGCTTGCAGTCCAGCTGCCTCCCACTGCAGTTCTTTGAGGACCTAGGCTGTATATGGGGAATATTCTGGTGTCTTCAGCCAGCTTGGGCAGGAGTTTGCTCTCTGGAAGTGCCCTATCTGAAGTACCTTAGTGTTCAACGTCTAGCTCCCTAGGCACAGTCTGATTCCAGAGCTAGGACCATGTGGTGCTAAAGTTCTATGAGACCTCTTACAGGATTCAGCTGTAGCCCAGTTGTTAGAATGCTTTCCTAGCATTTAAAAGGCGATGGGTTCAGTCTCCAGCACTGTATAAATTGGGAATCGTGGTAGACATCTATAACCCCAGCACTCAGAACATGGAGTGTGGAAGATAAATTCAAAGTCAGAGGGGCATGGTGGTGCACACCTTTGATCCCAGAATTCAAGAGGCAGAGGCTGAGGATGTCTTGAGTTCATGACCAGCCTGGTCTACAGAGTGAGTTCCAGGACAGCCAGGGCTGTTACACAGAGAAACACTGTCTCAAACAAAACAAAACAAAACAAAAGGTTCAAAGTCCTCAGCTATGTTGAGTTAAAATAAAGGCTAGGAAAAAAATCCCCAACTTACAGACCAGCCATATGGAAAGAAATAAATTATATTCATTTAATTAGTGCACAGGTTCCCCACAGCTATGGCCCAGACAGAGTTGTGTCCCAGCCCAACTCTGTTCAAGTGTGTGACACTTCTTGAAATTGCTGGTATGATCCCCAGGGACAATTTACACTTCTACCCAAAACAAAACCTTCAAAAACCTGGTCACAGCATATGACTGCTTTAGCCTACCAGAATGATCCATAGCCCATCTTCTTTGCATGAATTGAACTCCCATGAGGGGAGTACCAAAGTTTCAGGGGGATGACTAGCTTCCTCAAGAACCTTCATGTGCTGAGTTACACAGAAGCTACCAAAAGAGCTCACTACTTGTTATCAGGGCTTAGGACATGTAAACCCTACTAGTCACTGTGGATCTTGAGCATTTAAATGGGGCTAATGTGACTGAGGAAAATTTTGCTTTTGAGATAGGATTGCAGTGTGTAGCCCTGACTGCCCTGAAGCTTGCTATGTAGACTAGGCTGTCCTTGAACTCCCAGAGATCTGCTGCCTGTGTCTCCCTACTTCTAAGATTAAAACTGTTATGCAGAGAAACCCTGTCTCACACAACAACAACAAAAAAACCATGTCCAGCATCTTTTTTTTTCCCAATTGGACACCATAGTATGTACCATAAAAGAACAAACAGATAAACCTTAAAAATTTTAAACTAGGTATGGTGGTTTAAACCCATAATTCCAGTAGCTGGAAGGTGGAGACGGGGATTAGAAATTCAAGGCCAAGTCTTGGCAATTGGAGACTCAAATACCAGACCACAGGTTAGCAAGTTGGCTTACCAGGCAAAGGACATGTCAAGCCTGATGAGCTGAATTTGATTCCCAAGACTCACACAGTGGAGGGAGTCCACCAACTACTGGAGGTTGTTGTCAGACCTCTACATGTCCATGGTTCATGTGGACACACACAAAATAAAGGAACATTAAAAAATTAAATTTCCACCTTTGCCAAACGTAGCATATTCACATAATTTCATCACTTAGAAGGCTGAATCTAGAGGATTTTGCTTTGACTAGCCATGATTACAGAGTAAGACCCTGTCTATGCTAGGGATTGAACTCAAGTCTTTGTCCATCTTGGCCAAGTATTATTCCTATCACTGAAGCTCTGCCCCCATCCCTTCAGAAGTCTTCCTTCCTTCGTTTCTTTTGAGACAAGGTCTCATTATGAAGTCAGAGCTGTGCTGGAATTTGCTATATAGACTAGGCTGGCCTAGAACTGATAGAGATTTCCCCTGCCTTTGCCTCCAGAATGCTGGAACTAAAGGGTTAGGCCACAATGTCCAGCCCCTTAACATTTTTTTTAAACCCAGTGTGAAGAATTTGCACACCAACACAAGCTGGGTATGGTGGCACATCCTTGTAATTCCAGCACACGGGAGGCTGAGGCTGGGGAATTACAAATTTGAAGCTAGCTTGGGCTACACAGTGAGACCCTGCCACAAAAACTCAGAAGTTAAAAAAAAAAAAAAAGCAAACAAACAGAAAAAAACCCTTCTCTATTCAACCTGCAGGTCCTAACTCAGGGAAAATGAAAGTATTTGTACAGACTGTTCACACACATATGAGCTATCTGCAATAGTCCTAGACTAGAAACAGCCCAAATGCCTATCTGCAGGTGATTGAACAAAATATAGTATGTCCAAACAATGGAACGCAATGTGGCAATAAAACTGGCAATAAGGAAGTTGGGCATGGTGGCATACTCCTTTAATCCCAGCACTTGGGAAGCAGAGGCAGTTGGGTCACTGAGTTTGAGGCCAGCATGGTATTCAGAGCAAGTTCCAAGACTGCCAGGGCTACACAGAGAAACCCTGTCTCGGGGGTGAGGGGGTGGGGCGTGGAGGGGTGGGGGAGTGAGGGCAGGCACTGGTGATGCCAGGGAGAGGGTCAGGAGTTCAAGTAATTATCAGGTGTATATTGACTTTGATGCTAGCCTAGACTACGTGAGACCTTGTAATTCTAAAATATGAAGATTACAGTAACAGGGAGCACAGTTACTGTTGCTTGGGGAGATGGATTGAGGGCTGGAAGAAGGGAAGGCAAGAAATTGATAAATGTGTTGATTTCACAGGTATACACATATATCTAGAAAGATACCAAGTTTTATGACTTAAATACTGTATATGTGATTTATTAGGTTAGTTGTCTTATTCTGCCTATTAAAAAATTGTCCTAGCCAGGCACGGTGGCATTTTAATCCCAGGACACGGGTTTGAAGCTAACCTTGTCTGCATAGTGAGTTCTAGGCCAGCCAGGGCTAGAGGAACCCTGTCTTAACAAACAGTTAAAACAAAAATGCCCTTGGTGTTGCAGAATTGGCTCAGCATTTAAGAGCACTAGTTGCTCTTCCAGAAGATCTGGGTTGGATTTCCAGCACTCACATGGTGGATCATAACCATACCTATAGTGCCAGGGGATCTGATGCCCTCTTCAGGCCTCCAGGAACACTAGGCATACCTACATAAACATGAATGCAGATAAAACACTGATATACAGGTCCAACTCCACAATTTTGGTTGTGTGAGTCCTCAGTGTGCACCGGCTGTGAGTCACTTCAGCCCCTCCCCTTCAGTGTGGTCTGGGAGTGTGATCTAGGCTGACCTCAAGCTCTATGTAGCTGATATTGACCCTGAACTAATTCTTTTGTGCCCAGGACCCAAACACTAAGATTATAGGCACGTTACCACTATACCCATATTGGGACAGCAGGTCTATGCAAACTAGAAAGGGGATGGGAGGCAGCTTGGTGGTAGAACTCTTGTTTAGCACGTGTAAAGCCCTAGGTTTCATGTGTGTGCATGTATTATGTATGTATGTATGTATGTATGTACGTACGTACTCTTTTAGGGCTCAGAATCTATAAGCAGTGTATATAGCTCCAAAAAAGAACATTTGGAGACATAAAGTTGAATGTGATGTGTTGCTGGGAGCAAAGGACAGGGGAGTAAGGCAACAAAGGGGAAGGCTTTCTGAAAGAAGGGACATCGGTTCTAGCTCAATTAGTAATTAAGGTGACTGAGATATAGCTGGACAGGCAGGGCGGGTGGAGTGATGTCTACAAAAGCAGATGGGTGCAGCATCTGCATTGGAAGAAAAGGCATGGGTGAGTAGGGTGTAGCTCAGCCATTAAGTTCTAAGACAGTAAGGACAGTGGAGAGGCTGGTGTCTAGACAATGATGCCTTGGAAGTCAGGCCTACGTGTTTTGAGCACATTGAAGAAAGCCCTGGAGGGGTTCATGTTGTTTCTTGTGACTGCAAATGAAAAGAGATCATCATTATATGAAGCATCTTTAACATACACAATCATTCAGAGCACCTTGATCCTTCTATTCTCAATGGCTGTCCAGTTTCACTTTCACATTCTCAGTTTGGTAAATATTCCTTGATCCCACACACAGATTTTTTTTTAAGTTTTTGTTTGTTTTACACAATTCTCCCTACCAGGCAGGTGTTGTGGTGCATGCTGTTAATTACATCACTTGAGAGGCTGAGAAAGGCAGATCCCTGTGAATTTGAGGCTGGCCTGATGTACATAGGGAATTCCAGGGTAAAGATACATAGTGAGACTCTGTCTTAGAAATATCAAAAACAAAGCAAAACACACACACACACACACACACACACACACACACACACACACACACACACACGAACCAACCAAAACCCCCAAATAAAACAGAAAAGGTATGTACTACCACTCCTAGCCACAGAACTTTAAAGTAATAAATACTGCAAAAGTGGGACACTGTCTTCATCCTGCAAACCCTTAAGTCCTACAAAAACAAACAAGTGCATGCTTCTCCCCCCTCCCCCTCCTTTTGAGGGTTTCTCCGTGTAGCCCTTAGTGTTCTAGAACTCAGTCTGTAGACCAGGCTGGCCTCTAACTCACAGAGTTCAGCCTGTCTCTGCCTCCTGAGTGCTGGGGTTAAAGGTGTGCCTCATCACCCATCTCATATGCTTCTTTAAAGTTCCCTTGACTACGTCAGAGGGGCCCTTAAGGATTTTTAGCACTTCATTTTTAACAGGCCCCTACACTTCATCACTGACTGATGTCATGTTAGAGACACCATCCTGCCCTTAAAAACCAGCCCTAACACTTGGCAAAATGGAAACAAAGACATAGTCCATAGTTCCAGGAAAGTCCCCAAGTAAAAGTCCCTAAATGTACTAATCTTGCATTTTGCTTCTGTAGTTCTGCTTCTTGATAATGGAAATGTGCTAACCAAGATATGTTTTTTTTTTTTTTTTTGTACATAAAAGACAAAGAAATGTAAGGCTCAAGGCTACATGATTTGGGAAAGTTTTCCGTGCAGCCACTGGGCAACAATAAAAGCTATCGTTTTGGCTCTAAGAGTGTCTGTGTGATCATCTCTAGTGGGCTAATCTCCCAACTGATTTTCAACCTTTTTCTTCTCAGAGACAGGAAGAACATTGATGACAGATTTCGATGTCAAGGAGCATGGTGCCCCCCAATAACTAGGCTCCAATAACTAGGCTTGAGTTTCTTAACTTCCTGTCCAACAAAGGGTCTGTTATTCACCCATACGTACAGGTCTGTTGTTAGAGATATTCAGACACAGGCAACATCCATGTCCTTGTTTGTATTTCATTCTCGTGGTGCACTCTAATGAAATCTACAACCTAGTGATGTGAAATTCCCCGAAGAAAGTCACATCTACGTTGAAGATCCTGTAGGCTGATTGGCTGATTAGGACACTGTGATTATGGAAGACGGAAAACTACAGATTGAGGGTAAAAAAATTATCGTATACTGTTTTTGCCCCTTCTTCTTTGAATCAGGCTTTCATTTAGTAGTAACCTGGGCTATGTGTGTAAACTCACAACTCATGGCCACACGTGTCTGTCTAGCTAATATTTCTACTAATGTGTGGATAAATGCACCGGTTTGTGGCTTGCTTTTGTTCTGTGGCTACGTAAGTTCACGAAACCCCTGCCACGGTGGAATATGCCTGTTACAGCAATCAGAATCCATGCTCAGGCTGTGATCTGGCTCAGAATACATTCTCTCTTAGTTCCTTTGGAGCAAGAGTTACATTTTGTGTCCTGTTTTCACATCATTTCTTTCCCCAGTGGCTGCCAGCCTTCACTGTTCTGATTCTGAGGCAGGTCATTGCCATTCCTGGCCTTTCTTTTGTCCCATCTAGCAGGCAGCAATTTATAGCCTTCTCCAAGCTGCATCCCTGCAGATCCCTGTGAGAAGCAAGGACAATTCACTTCACATTAAGAGTTCTGGAGATGGGATGGGGGCTGGAGAAATGGCTCAGCCATTAAGAGCACTGGCAGCTCTTCCAGAGGTCCTGAGTTCAATTCCCAGCAACCGCAGGGTGGCTGATAACCATATGTAATGAGATCTGGTGCCCTCCTCTGATGCATGCAGGCACAACACTGTATTTACCTAATAAATCTTAAAAAAAAAAAAAGTTCTGGAGTCTCAAGAGTAGCAAAAGTGAAAATGCTCATTTCACAACTAGGCAAAGTCAAGCTTCAGCCTAGAGCAAAGAAAATTGACTAGCTTGCATATTTGGATGGATGGATGTATATACATATATACATGTACATATAGATATATGTCCCTGATTTCATTTCTTCACCCCCTTTAGCTCCTTTGACTGAGTTCTCTAAGGAGTTACACTCTTTCTGGTGTTCAGTGTTGCTGCTTTCCCAAGTTTCTCATGCTATTAGTTGAGGACACAAAGCCTTTACCCTGGGGATCCGGATTCTCACATTAACTTTAAAAAAGAAAAAAAGAAATTATTATCTACCCAGTGTTCTTCCCAAGAGCATGCCTGTATGACAGAAGAGAGCACCAGATCTCATTACAAATAGTTTAGAGCCACCATGTGGTTGCTGGGACTTGAACTGACCTCTGGAAGAGCAGCCAGTGCTCTTAACCTCTGAGCTATCTCTCCAGCCCCATTAACGACTTTTCAATCAGGATAACCCAAAGAGTGCCCAGACAAGCAGTCACATGCTGCCAGCTAGGGAAGATAGGGGTTTAGCGGCTTGTGCTTTAAATACATCTCATCCTGAAAATGGATCATAATGATTTCTTTCTTTTTTTTTTTTCGAGGCAGGGTTTCTCTGTGGTTTTGGAGGCTGTCCTGGAACTTGCTCTTGTAGACCAGGCTGGTCTCGAACTCAGAGAGACCCTCCTGCCTCTGCCTCCCAACTGCTGGGATTAAAGGTATCTGCTACCACTGCCCGGCAATGATTTATTTCTTCTAGCCCAACCCTCAGGAGATCTCAAAATCTCCAAACCACCCATGCAACAACCTTCCCACAGTCCCATCTCTTCTTTTCATTATCGTTTTATTTGAGATGGAGAGGAAAACCAACAGAGCAAGCGGGTTATAACAAATCTGTCTCTGTTATAAATCTGGGATTGAAGGGGTGAGCCACCCCGCCCAGCCCTATTTCTCCTTTTTTTTTTTCCCTTTGAGACCCATCTCTCACTAGGTAACCCAATAGCAAAGCGATCTTCCTGCTCATTTCCGGATGAGCTGAGTAAAAGGAGCCCTGTAATCTCACCCATACTTCCATTACCAGTTAAATGTTAAAACTTTCAGGACTCTAGAAGTTCTGTGAACCCGAGGAAGAGATACTCGTTAGAGATGGGGCATAAACAAAGTGCTGGAACACAGGTGCGCTTCCGAAACTGGCAGAGTGGGCCCCTGGAGGGATCGGGATTGACTGACGTCGCACTCAGACCACAGGAATCGGCGGAAGGGTCCCCAATATCGCGCAAGCGCCGCGCACGCGCGTCATCAACGGCGACGGCAGCTTACGACGTCTCGGGCGCAGGCGCGGCCGCACACTGCCGGCGCAGATGCTGTGACGTCAGAGGCCGGCCTAGGCGGTCCGCGAGCCGCAGCCTTAAGTTGCTCTCGCCTCAAACTGACGCAGTGTTGTTGTTGGCCAGTCGCTCTCCCGCGCCGACTGCGGTGCGGGCCCAGGAGAGCCGTGCCGACTTCTCCTCCCCGCGCGTTACGTCGCTCTCACTTCCGGGTTGCTGACTTCCGGTTGCCGCCATCTTTCTCTGGCGGAAGCCGGCTTCTAGGTGGGAGCTCCGTGGCGAGTGCCGTGGGTATCGCGGTCGGTCGGTGCCATGCCGTCATCTCCGCTGCGGGTGGCGGTGGTGTGCTCGAGTAACCAGAATCGGAGCATGGAAGCACACAACATCCTCAGGTAGTGCAAGCTCCACCTGCCTTCCGCCCTTTCCCTCCTTTTTTCCCGCAGATTCCTGTCCAGACCCCGACCCTACACTGACTGGGGCCTCGGAAGTTCGGGCCACGCCCGGACTCCAGGCCTTTCGACCCCTCTGCGGGATCCGTGCGCGCGACGCCCTCATGTAGGGTAAGCATTACAGCGAAGTCGGTTTCACAACCGAAACGTTCGTGGTCCCAGGAGCGTCAGCGTCCGTCGCCCAGTAAATCCGAGAGATGGCGGCCTGTCTGCATGCTTGCGCCTTGTGTCTGACAGCTGGTCTGGACGGAGAGGCAGTGTCACGGGCGAGGCCGAGGTCTTCCGTGGTGCGACTGGTGCCCGACGGTTGTTATTTCCTGTGTGTGTCGTCAAGCCGCATTCACTGGAAAGCTCTCAGCACGTCATATCAAGATGGAACGAGTCTGGAAGCAACAACAGTGACCCTGACTTGCTAACGTCAGGAATTGAATGTTTGTTGCTGTCTACGTTTGCAAGCCTCATGCACAAGCCCTCACACCCCCCCCACACACCCCATAACTCCAGTCAGTAATCTCTGGAACACACAATTCATTCGGTTCATTGGTACCACCTCATTCTCCCCTACAAATTCCTCTTTGATAGTACTTTATCTTCATAATCTCTTGACAAAATGAGAAACTGATGCATTGCATTACAGGTAAAATATAGTATAGATGTCAACTTTGATAGTACAGTAGAATTTGTTAATTTTTGAAATTTTTTGACAATTTCATACTCCCCCCCCCCACACACACACACAAGACAGGGTCTCTGTGTGGTCCTGGTTGTCCTCGAACTTGGTCTGTTGACCAGGCTGGCATGAAACTCAAGAGATTCACCAGCTTCTGCCTCCCAAGTTCTCGAGTGCTGGTATTAAGGGCTTATTGGCTGGCTGCGACCTCACTCTCCACCTGCCCCTCTAGTGTTGGTATTAATAATAGGAGTTTGCCACCATACTAAACTGCCTCAAGTTTTCTTATCCAGAGTGCTAGTAGCCTATCATCTGCAAAGTCTAGAATGTCATTTATGCTAATGTTAGCACATGAGCAGCTCTCATCCTAATGCTTTGACCTTTAATACAGTTCCTCATATTGTGGTGACCCAGTCTGTGTTTTCCAATGGTCATAGGTGACCCCTGTAAAGGGGTCTTATTTGTTTTGCAGATGGTAGTATGCTTTGAATGTAACTAGCCGGGGCTACAAAGTATGAAGCTAGCCTGGTCTATAAGACCCCATCTCAAAAAAAGGAAAAAATGGGGTGAGATGTCCTATTTCCTTGCATTCTTCTGGATATGTACCTTACCCTTTCTCCACCCCCTGCTGTCTTGACCAAGATGGCCTTGAACTGGAAACAAAACAGACCACTCTATAACCTGCTCTTTGTTTTGTTTTGTTTTGTTTTTTTGAGACAGGGTTTTTCTGTAGCTTTGGAGGACTGTCTTGGAACTCACTCTGTAGACCAGTCTGGCCTTGACCTCAGAGATTTCCTGCCCCTGCCTCTCAAGAGCTGGAACTAAAGGTGTGTGTCACCACCTGGCTCAAAGAAAAAAAAAAAGTATATTTCAGTAATACAATAGTCTAGGAGGCGGTAGCGAATGCATGGCTTTAATACAGCACTTTCAAGGCATAGCAGATCAGTCTCTGTGTATTTGAGTCCAGCCTGCTCTACAGATCGAGTTTCAGAACAGCCTGCACTACACAGAGAAACCCTATCAAAAACCAAACCAAACAAACACACAAAAAAGGACAACAGGCTGGGCCTCAACTAGAGTACCATCTACTGCTTTTGTTTTATTTACTGGTTGCTAAGGCAGAAAGGCCTAACCCTTTAATTTTATTATTAGCCAAACTATGGTGTCATCTGTAGTCTCAATCACCTTAGGCTACATTCCCAGTCCTGAAATTTTTTTGTTTTGTTTTTGCCTACATTTATTTTTATGTGTCACGTGTATGCCTGATGTCCTCATAGGCCAGAAGAAGGCATTCGGTCCTCTTGGAACTGGAGTTACAGATGGTTGTAAACCACCCTGGGAGTGATGGGATTAGAACCTATGTCTCCTGGAAGAGCAACCAGTGTTCTTAGCCACTGAGCCATCTCTCCAACCCTTTTCATTTTAGACACGTGCTGGGATTAAACGTGTGTACCATGGTGTCTACCCCATGGGAGCTGTGTTTTATTATTTTAAAAAAACTGGGAATACTCGCCTAGTAAGTCCAAGGTTATTGCTTAATTCTAGCAGTTCCAAAACAAAGGAGGTCCAGGCAGCGGTGGCGCACGCCTTTAGTCCAAGCACTCGGGAGGCAGAGGCAGGAGGATCTCTGTGAGTTCCCAGACCAACCTGGTCTACAAGAGCTAGTTGAGGACAGCATCCAAAGCCACAGAGAAGCCCTGTCTCGAACAAAAAAACAAAAAGTAAAGGCGGAGGAGGCTGGGGACAGCATGGCTCAGTAGCATGCGTATTTATTATGCATGTAGCCCTGGATTTGATTCTTAGCATCCCATTAAAAAACTACTTGATGTGGTGACATATGCCTGTAATCTCAGTACTTGGGAGGTAGGAACAACTTTGATCCCAGTACTGTGAGGCACAGGCAGGCAAATCTCTGTGAGTTCGAGACCAGCCTCAACAAAGCAACAGCCAGGGATGTTACACAAACCCTGCCTCGAAAAACCAAAGAAAAAAAGGAAAAAATGCAGAGGCCTAGCCTGGACTACATGAGATCCTGTCCAAAAGTGAAAGAGGCTAAGACAGGCTTGTGATAGTGAGTATGTTTAAGTTCCAGGGTGGGAGAAACCAGCTTGGGAGAGTTGGTAGGGTGAGTGCCTCTGTCAGGGTACTTTATCAAAGCCATTTCAGTTCATCTGTGTGTGTGTGTGTGTGTGTGTGTGTGTGTGTGTGTGTGTGTGTGTTGACATCGGATAACCTGTTACTCTATACAATATATTTTGAGACAATTTCTGTGAATGTGGAGTTCACCAATTAGCCAGACTGGCTGGTAGTAAACTTCAGTTTACTATTATCTTCACCTTTTCTATCCTGATAACATTGCAGCCAGACACCACCATGAGCAGTTGTTTGTTTTAGTATATTTAGAGGTGTTTTTCTTTTTAAATTTTTTGTGTGTCAGTGTTTTGTCTGCATGTGTCTGCATTATGTGCATGTAGTGGCTATGGGGGAAAAATAGGAGCCTAAGAAGAATCTGGGAATTGGAAGGAAAGGAATTATCTATGATTCCACAAGTCCTTGATTTGTGGGTGGCTCTAGAATGCCAGTGTCGCAGTGAGCATGTATCGGGCCACCAGAGTTGCACAGTCCAGTAATTGGTAGTAACTGACACAAGATTTGGACATAGGCCACCTTGAGGTGTCATGAATTTCTGTCTGCTCTTAGGCATGTTCCCCATACTCTTACATGGAGGTGGCATAAGCTGTCTCTGCTGTATGTTTTTTTGGTTCTTGGTACACTTATAAGAAAGTGAGCCAGGTGGTGGCACACACCTTTAACCCTAGCACTCAGGAAGCAGAGGCAGGAGGATCTCTGTGCGTTCAAGGCCAACTTTTCTACAGAGGGAGTTCCAGGACAGCCAAGACTGTTTCACAGAGAAACCTTGTTTCAAAAAATGGGAGGAAAAAAGTGAACTAGAAATTATTTAGGTACATGAATAATTTAATAACCCCAGCACTGAAGAGGGTAAGCCCTAAGATTCACAAATTGCAAACCAGCATACACTCCTGCCGTGAATGCCGTGAAATAAAAAGCTGGATGTGTTGATGCATACTTACAATTGCCTCATACTGTAGGTAGGGCAGGGTAGTTGAGGTTTGAAGCCCACACAGATCCTGTTTCTTTAAAAAAAAAAAAAAAAAAAAGCAAAGACAAAGAGGCTACTGGTCTTAAAATCATGCCTCCATGTGTCTTCACAGATTTTTAAGGGACTGTGGACTAGTTTTTGTATCATTCCTACAAATATAGAATTAAGACCAACGAGGAATTGCTAAAGGAAAATGGACTTCTGCTTTGCTGTGACTGTGACAAAACTGTATATGAACACAGTAACAGCTTTAACCACTAAAAGTTATTACTTTTAGTGCAGGCCTATGGCTCAGCATAATGCATTCACTTCACTGGCAGCCTGACAACCTGAGTTTGAGTCCTAGGACCAACATGGTAGAGGGAGAACCAAATCCCACAGGTTGCCCTCTGACCTACACATGGGCACATGCTAAATAAATAAATGTAATAAGTGTATTTGAAATTCTATATGCCTGACATAGTGGCACACAACTCTAGTTCTAACATTAGAGAGACAGGGGTAGGTGGATATTTGGGAGTTTGGTCTACATAGCTAGTTCTAGGCCACCCAGGGCTATTGTCCATGTTTAGTCTTCTCAGCATTTCTTTATAGGTGAGAAAATGGGTGGAGCCTGTACTTTCACATTTTTCTAGTGATAGCATAAATTTTGTGAAGATATTTTCAAAGTTTTACTTTCTATGTTAGTTGATAGTGACAAATAACTAAGAAAAACATCTTAAAGGAGAAAAGTCTCTGGTCATTTGTCCCTGTGGTTTTTCATCCTGTGGTGAAGAAGGGTGTTGTGGAGAGGACCTGGCAGAATAGAGCTGTTCACCTCTTCACTTGTGGTGAGAGTAAGTTAACATTATTCACGGTGGTTTATTCTCTCCCTCTCCCCAATAATGTCATCAAATTGTGAATCCCTTATACTAACCCATTGATGAGGTTGGCATTCTTTTTTTTTATATGTACTTTTTTTTTTAATTTTGTTTACTTATTTTTATTACATATATAGTGTTCTGTCTGCATGCCTGCATTTCAGAAGAGGGCACCAGATCTCAGGATGGATGGTTGTGAGCCACCATGTGGTAGCTGGGAATTGAACTCAGGACCTCTGGAAGAGCAGCCAGTGCTCTTAACCTCTGAGCCATCTCTCCAGCCCGAGGTTGG